TCGAACCGCAATCCGTGTAATGCGATAAAGAGAGTTTTGGATGTGAGAGGTCACGAGTTTCCATGAAAGCTCTGAGTGCTCCTCAGTTGCTGAGTGACAGGTTTGACCTCTGTGACCTCTGTGACCTCAGTGCTGATGTCAGCAGGTTTAGTGAGCGCACCAACCCAAACCCAAGCCCACCACAGACCACTCGCTCGGGTTACGCAAGAAACCATCAGCATGACTCACCGCTCAGAGAACACTTTCCCACAATGCACTGCGATTAGAAATTATACACTTGCATTGTATTCAATAATGATCGTGTGTAACGTGTGCAATGACAATTAAGTTGAATCTAATCTACTCTACTCTAATATACAGTAAAATTATCAACTTACAGTAAAAGCAAAATATTGATAGATTTATGATTTGTTCTAAATAAAGTAAAAATAGTTTAAAATAAAGAATAGAAATAAATAATAAAATGAAACGTAGCTGGAAGCGCACTCCTTTAAACCTTTATAGGTGGCGCTATCGAGCCATTTCGCCCCAGCCAATTCTGAAGCCCCCGAAACAAATGTTCGCCAGTTCTGACGTGTGTGTAGAGTTTCGTGAATGTTTACGCCTTTAAAAATGCAATTCACTTTGATGAAGATGAAGAAGAAGAATCGAACTCAACTTTTTGACCAAAGAACTTTACAGAATAAATAACCAAATATAACAAAAGATCAAATTCAACATAAAATAAAAATATAGAATAGAAAGTAAATAGAAAATTAATAGAACTCAACTCAACCTTTTCTTATATAGCACATTTAAACAAGTTGATTAAAATGTTTCAATAAATAACAATATAAATGATTAATAGATTTCTATTTTATTCGATGTAAATAGAAATAGTACAGAAATAAACAATTGAAAGTAAATTTTAAAATAATAGAACTTTTGATCAAGTGCTTCACTATCAACATAAAAGTAAAAACTTTTATGTAAAAACTTATTTTCCATTCAAAATAAAGTAAAAAAAGATAAATAAAGAATAGAAAGTAAACAGTAAAATAGCAGAACTGAATTTGACTAAAGTGCTTCACAATAATACACAGTAATTAACATAAGAGTAAAAAAAGAAAAAGATTTATATTCAATTGTCTGTCTGTCTTTAAACGATCAAATAAAGTCAAATAAATAAATAATAGAAAGTAAATATTAAAATAATAGAACTCTACTCACATTTTTGACCAAACAGATAATAATCAACAAAAAAGTAAATAAACGTTAATAGATTTATATTTTATTCTAAATGAGTAAAGAAAATTAAGTAAATTAAAATAGTAGACCATGAAAAACTAATTGAAATGGACTGAGTATATTATTGTTATTATTTACTTGCCAAACTCTTACAGAATCAGTTATAAATCGAGATGCTCATTTCTGGCATCTGAACAGAGTATAAATATATATTTTATGAGAATATAATAACACCGTGTAAAAATCAAGCGGCAACCTCTCTTGAAGCCAACACGGAAGTGAATTAAACTGCAATTCATCGAGTGGCCACTTGAGGCTGACTGCAAAAGCGAGTCGAATCTGTATCTCCCACATGTTAAAATGCCTATTTTATAAAAATAAAGTAATTATTTAAGAAAGTTTTGTACAAACTGAGCGACGAATCTAAATGAGTTTCTGTCCTGTTGTTTTGAACTAGAAGCTTTCATATAAACAGACCCGTCCCACATTACATAAACAACATTAATTATGTTTGGGTTTGTTATCACTAAAACTCAAATACTAAATACAGTGTGTGTGAATATACCTTTAACGCCTGTCTGACACACTGACCAAACACGGAAGAGAGAGAGTGTGTGTGTGTTCTGGCTCTCGTCCAGTCTGTCATCAGTCATTAGTCTGTCAGTCCTGAATAGACTTTAATCTGATCATAATGAGCTGCGTATGAAAGCAGAAATCAGAGCGTGAAACTGAAACAGAAGTTCATTCGTGAGGTTTCCCTGTCGGCTGCCTGTGAAAGTGTTGGGAAACATCGTGACAATATGCTCGTCTTCCTCTGGAAGTGTTTTAAACGTCTGTCGAACGAGGGACTGGACGGGTGTTTCTCTTGGCAGACATTCGGGAAATCTGATCCAAGATCTGGGATGGCTTTAAACAATAACACAAACCCTGCGAGGTCACTTCAGGACACACACACACACACACAATATGTCTGACTCTTGTCCGCTTTCTCTTTGTCTTCTGTATCGTGAACGTTGCCCTGCAAACAATGAACTTCATCCTCAGTGTTTCTGTCTTGTTTTCCAGCACAAACTTCTAAACATTTTTAAATCAAGATACGGTTACGTGACCTCAGTTTTTGAGTGAAAAAAGTTCACTATAAACTCAGAATAATGACTTCTACAGTCAATCAGATCTGAAGAAGAAACACAAAACCTGTGCTCATGGAAAGAAAACAAGTTGATGAAAAGATTGAATCCAATATTTGGTGAAAATACAGCATAACCAGACATTTAATGTACAAGCAATATAAATATGGGTCATTTTTGACCCGGAACAACACACAGCACAAGATTTAAAGGAGTAGTTTACTTTAAAAAAAACTTTTGCTGATAATTTACTCACCCCCTTTCTTTCTTCAGTCGGTTTTTGATGAAAACATTCCAGCATTTTCTCCATATAATGGACTTCAATGGGGACCAAACGACAGTTTCAGTGCAAACTGTTCAAAGGACTTTAAACGACTCCAGACGATGAATAAGGGTCTTATCAAGCGAAACGATCGCTCATTTAATAAATAAATAACAAAGTTTAAGTTTTATAAGCTCAAATGCTCGCCTTGCTCTGTTCTGTGATGCGCGTTCGTGACTCTCCTGTTCGAACTCGTTCATCAAAATGAACGAATCTTTTTTTGTGCCATTTGGTTCATTCAACGAACAAAATGAACGGGAAGAGATTCGGAAAAACAAGTTTCTGATTCCAACGACCGATATTTGTTCTTGTTTGAAGCATAATCTCACTTCATTTTGATACATTTTCAGAAAAGAAGAAGACAGAAAACAATGTAATTTTGAGTAAATTGATTAAAGAATGTTTCAATATTTGTGCTGGAAAACAAAACGAACAACCTGACGATTGAGAACAGCATTTTTTTTTCAGTGATAATTGGGTCTGTTTTTATTTTATGAGATATAATTATAATTTTATACATGTTTAATGTGCACACACACTCAGACACACTGTTGTATTTACTGGAAATGAGGCTCACATTCAGTTAGAATAGTAAACTCACATGCTTAGAGTCATTAATGAGTTTCAGCGAAACCACATAGTGAGTCAGCAAGTGAAGAAGAGATTACACACACACACACACACACACACACAGTCAACATTTCGGCCGTAAGTCAAATGAAGAACATCATAAATAAAACCAATAATTACTCACAGGTGAAAATAGTGACATCACAATCAGTGATTTTAGGTTTCCAGGGTTACTGTGATTGACACACACACACACACGCAGACACACTGTTGTATTTACTGGAAATGAGGCTCACATTCAGTTAGAATAGTAAACTCACATGCTTAGAGTCATTAATGAGTTTCAGCACATGAAACCACATATTGAGTCAGCAAGTGAAGAGATACACACACACTCACGCACACCCAACATTTCCCCCAACATTTCGGCAACAAGTCTTTGTCAATGCGCAACTCTTACAAAATGAAGAACATCATAAATAAAACCAACACTTACTCACAGTTGAAAATAGTGACATCACAATCGGTGAGTTTAGTTTTCCAGGGTGACTGTTATTGAAGCATGTTGCTATGGCGTTGCTAGGGCGTTCTGGGTTGTTTGCAGGGTGGTTGTTATTGAAGCTCTTGCTATAGTGTTGTTAGGGTGTTCTGGGCGGTTTCCAGGGTGATTGTAATTTAAGCATGAAACTATGATGTTGCTAGGGTGTTATGGGTTGGTTTCCAGGGTGCATGTGATTGAAGCACATTGCTATGGCGTTGCTAGGGTGTTATGGGTTGGTTTCCAGGATGATTGTTAATGAAGCACGTTGCTATGGTGTTGCTAGGGTGTTATGGGTTGGTTTCCAGGGTGATTGTTAATGAAGCACATTGCTATGGTGTTGCTAGGGTGTTATGGGTTGGTTTCCAGGGTGATTGTTAAAGAAGCACATTGCTATGGCGTTGCTAGGGTGTTATGGGTTGGTTTCCAGGATGATTGTTAATGAAGCACATTGCTATAGTGTTGCTAGGGTGTTATGGGTTGGTTTCCAGGGTGCATGTGATTTAAGCACATTGCTATGGCGTTGCTAGGGTGTTATGGGTTAGTTTCCAGGATGATTGTTAATGAAGCACATTGCTATGGTGTTGCTAGGGTGTTATGGGTTGGTTTCCAGGGTGATTGTTAATGAAGCACATTGCTATGGTGTTGCTAGGGTGTTATGGGTTGGTTTCCAGGGTGCATGTGATTGAAGCACATTGCTATGGCGTTGCTAGGGTGTTATGGGTTGGTTTCCAGGATGATTGTTAATGAAGCACATTGCTATGGTGTTGCTAGGGTGTTATGGGTTGGTTTCCAGGGTGATTGTTAATGAAGCACATTGCTATGGCGTTGCTAGGGTGTTATGGGTTGGTTTCCAGGATGATTGTTAATGAAGCACATTGCTATGGCGTTGCTAGGGTGTTATGGGTTGGTTTCCAGGCTGATTGTTAAAGAAGCACATTGCTATGGCGTTGCTAGGGTGGTGGTTTCCAGGGTGATTGTTAATGAAGCACATTGCTCTGGCGTTGCTAGGGTGTTATGGGTGGTTTCCAGGGTGATTGTTAGGTGTTACTGGCTCTACTGAAGCAAAAAAAAAGTGAACACTTTAACCCTTAGTGCTATGCACATCCCTGTGTCATTTTCCAGAAAAAAGCGGATATCTTATTTAATATATTATTTAATCCTCCAATTAAAAGATAACAGCTGAACATCTGTTTAATTTGATCTACACAGATGCATTATTTCCCCTGCAGCTGCTGAGTAACACACCGTCTTTTACAATTTAATGGTAATCATTTTATTTAAAGGAATTAAATTATTAAATGATTTAAAATGATTTCAGGGAATTAAGTTTCCCTGTCCTCACAGATGTGGATAATGATCAGATTCAGGAGCTGGTGATGAACACTCTGTCTTGAGGGGTGAAAGCTGAGAAGAGGAAGAGCGTATAAAGCAGACAGAGAGAGGATGAAAGGCGATCGCTGGGACTGTTAGCGGTGGACAAGAGAAACACACAAAGGGAAGCGGATAGAGAAAGAAGCACCGATGCTCTTTCTCCATGTTCAGGTGAGTGTGTGTGGAGAAGAACAACACGTGTGTGTTTCTGTGATGTATTAATCTCTGCGCTCCCGAACACACTGCTGGTCCTCGTCTTTGGTATTCCTTCGCCTCGGGCTGATCAAGATCTGCTTTATCCCTCTGAAACGACAGATTCTTTCATCCGTCGCCTGAGGCTTCATGCTGTCGAGCTTCACAACCTGTGCATGTGCAAAAATACACACGAGAACACAGAGTTAAAAACAACCCAATTTGTGTTCAACCCATGGGCTGGGTTACAGAACACATGCTGGGTTCATTTTACCCAGCAAATTGGGTTGTTTAGTTAACCCAGCATAATGTGTTGATTTAACCGAACATAGTTGATTAATTTTTACTATAATATTGTTGATTTTTTACTTCATATGTGAATCATTACATGAATGTCTACGGATGAACTTAAATCCTCTAAACTTTTTTTAAATACTTGATACAACCACTGGCTTACATGATTATTCCTTTAATTTTCCTGTGATAAATAACTCAATCCCTGTGTTATGACACGTCTGACCGAAGATCTGAGTAACACAAGAAAACTACCCAGACACTGGGTTGGGACGTCTGACCCAGGAGCTGGGTTACACAAAAACTACCCAAACACTGGGCCAGCTGACCCAGTGCTCTCTGATTGGCCAGATGACCCAGTGCTCTCTGATTGGCCAGATGACCCAGTGCTCTCTGATTGGCCAGCTGACCCAGTGCTCTCTGATTGGCCAGATGGTCCAGTGCTCTCTGATTGGCCAGATGACCCAGTGCTCTCTGATTGGAGGCTGACCCAGTGCTCTCTGATTGGCCAGCTGACCCAGTGCTCTCTGATTGGCCAGCTGACCCAGTGCTCTCTGATTGTCCAGCTGACCCAGTGCTCTCTGATTGGCCAGATGGCCCAGTGCTCTCTGATTGGCCAGATGGCCCAGTGCTCTCTGATTGGCCAGATGGCCCAGTGCTCTCTGATTGGCCAGATGGCCCAGTGCTCTCTGATTGGCCAGCTGACCCAGTGCTCTCTGATTGTCCAGCTGACCCAGTGCTCTCTGATTGGCCAGATGGCCCAGTGCTCTCTGATTGGCCAGCTGACCCAGTGCTCTCTGATTGGCCAGATGGCCCAGTGCTCTCTGATTGGCCAGATGGCCCAGTGCTCTCTGATTGGCCAGATGACCCAGTGCTCTCTGATTGGCCAGCTGACCCAGTGCTCTCTGATTGACCAGCTGACCCAGTGCTCTCTGATTGGCCAGCTGACCCAGTGCTCTCTGATTGACCAGCTGACCCAGTGCTCTCTGATTGGCCAGCTGACCCAGTGCTCTCTGATTGTCCAGCTGACCCAGTGCTCTCTGATTGTCCAGCTGACCCAGTGCTCTCTGATTGGCCAGCTGACCCAGTGCTCTCTGATTGGCCAGCTGACCCAGTGCTCTCTGATTGTCCAGCTGACCCAGTGCTCTCTGATTGGCCAGCTGACCCAGTGCTCTCTGATTGTCCAGCTGACCCAGTGCTCTCTGATTGGCCAGCTGACCCAGTGCTCTCTGATTGGAGGCTGACCCAGTGCGCTCTGATTGGCCAGCTGACCCAGTGCTCTCTGATTGGCCAGCTGACCCAGTGCTCTCTGATTGACCAGCTGACCCAGTGCTCTCTGATTGACCAGCTGACCCAGTGCTCTCTGATTGACCAGCTGACCCAGTGCTCTCTGATTGGCCAGCTGACCCAGTGCTCTCTGATTGGCCAGCTGACCCAGTGCTCTCTGATTGGCCAGCTGACCCAGTGCTCTCTGATTGTCCAGCTGACCCAGTGCTCTCTGATTGGCCAGCTGACCCAGTGCTCTCTGATTGACCAGCTGACCCAGTGCTCTCTGATTGTCCAGCTGACCCAGTGCTCTCTGATTGGCCAGCTGACCCAGTGCTCTCTGATTGGCCAGCTGACCCAGTGCTCTCTGATTGGAGGCTGACCCAGTGCTCTCTGATTGGCCAGCTGACCCAGTGCTCTCTGATTGGCCAGCTGACCCAGTGCTGTCTGATTGGCCAGCTGACCCAGTGCTCTCTGATTGGCCAGCTGACCCAGTGCGCTCTGATTGACCAGCTGACCCAGTGCGCTCTGATTGGCCAGCTGACCCAGTGCTCTCTGATTGGCCAGCTGACCCAGTGCTCTCTGATTGGCCAGCTGACCCAGTGCTCTCTGATTGGCCAGCTGACCCAGTGCGCTCTGATTGGCCAGCTGACCCAGTGCGCTCTGATTGGCCAGCTGACCCAGTGCTCTCTGATTGGCCAGCTGACCCAGTGCTGTCTGATTGGCCAGCTGACCCAGTGCTCTCTGATTGGCCAGCTGACCCAGTGCTCTCTGATTGGCCAGCTGACCCAGTGCTCTCTGATTGGCCAGCTGACCCAGTGCGCTCTGATTGGCCAGCTGACCCAGTGCTCTCTGATTGGCCAGCTGACCCAGTGCTCTCTGATTAGCCAGCTCTCTGATTGGCCAGCTGACCCAGTGCTCTCTGATTGTCCAGCTGACCCAGTGCTCTCTGATTGGCCAGCTGACCCAGTGCTCTCTGATTGGCCAGCTGACCCAGTGCTCTCTGATTGGAGGCTGACCCAGTGCTCTCTGATTGGCCAGCTGACCCAGTGCTCTCTGATTGGCCAGCTGACCCAGTGCTGTCTGATTGGCCAGCTGACCCAGTGCTCTCTGATTGGCCAGCTGACCCAGTGCGCTCTGATTGACCAGTTGACCCAGTGCGCTCTGATTGGCCAGCTGACCCAGTGCTCTCTGATTGGCCAGCTGACCCAGTGCTCTCTGATTGGCCAGCTGACCCAGTGCTCTCTGATTGGCCAGCTGACCCAGTGCGCTCTGATTGGCCAGCTGACCCAGTGCGCTCTGATTGGCCAGCTGACCCAGTGCTCTCTGATTGGCCAGCTGACCCAGTGCTGTCTGATTGGCCAGCTGACCCAGTGCTCTCTGATTGGCCAGCTGACCCAGTGCTCTCTGATTGGCCAGCTGACCCAGTGCTCTCTGATTGGCCAGCTGACCCAGTGCGCTCTGATTGGCCAGCTGACCCAGTGCTCTCTGATTGGCCAGCTGACCCAGTGCTCTCTGATTAGCCAGCTCTCTGATTGGCCAGCTGACCCAGTGCTCTCTGATTGGCCAGCTGACCCAGTGCTCTCTGATTGGCCAGCTGACCCAGTGCTGTCTGATTGGCCAGCTGATCCAGTGCTCTCTGATTGGCCAGCTGACCCAGTGCGCTCTGATTGGCCAGCTGACCCAGTGCGCTCTGATTGGCCAGCTGACCCAGTGCTCTCTGATTGGCCAGCTGACCCAGTGCGCTTTGATTGGCCAGCTGACCCAGTGCTCTCTGATTGGCCAGCTGACCCAGTGCTCTCTGATTGGCCAGCTGACCCAGTGCGCTCTGATTGGCCAGCTGACCCAGTGCTCTCTGATTGGCCAAACACCTCAAGCATGTGTTGGATATATAATGGCCGTTACATTTTATATAAAAATGTTGCCTTGTAAAGTAATAGTTCATCCCTTACTCAACTTCACGTTGAAACCCGTAGCAGATTACTTGTGCTTGTGGTCGGTGTAAATCATTCAAACACACCTTGATTTAATGGTGTTTGAAGCTACTGACATTAAACCTGGTGCTTCTTTCTTCTATTCTCTCTGTTTTTGCATCACTATATAGCAATGGACTCTGCTGCCTGTGCTTCATACTGTTGTGTTATTAGGTAAGCATGTTGTGCAATGATGAATGTTATGACATTTCTGAAACATTGTGGTCAAACCACAATTAATGTGACCAAGACACACAACACACACATTTGTCAAGCTGTACCTGGTTGTTTAATCATGTATGTTTATACCACAGAAGAAAGCTTGTGTTGCATGAGCGGCGGAGACTCGACTCTTCAACAGACTGAATGTCTGACGGGAAACAAATCAAAGGAAATTCGCCATTTGCCTTTAATTAGAGTCAGTGTGTCTCTGACAGGGTAATTGCTTCCACGGTTGCTTCTCGTTGTCGTTGGACCGCATCAAAGCGCTCGAGAAGGATGTTTTCCTTTTCTTCTGAGGACTTCAGAAACTCAGAGACAAAGCAGATCATTTTTATATTGACCCCTAATAAGCTGAGACTCTGCATGACTCCATCTTGGACTCCATCCAAGTTGGGTTAAAATTTTAAATACATTTTTAATTTAATTTAATATACTAGAACAATATAAAGGTTCTGGAAAGATTAAATTCCACAAATGCATGAAGGAAGATCTCAGTGCGTCTGAAAATCCTACTTGAGTGGAAGTTTGCAGGTGTTTGATAAGAGAAGTGTGTGTCTCACACACACACACACACACACAGGTGTTTGTCCTGCGGTTTCAGCAGCTGCATCTCAGAGAGAGAAAGAGAGCGACACCCACACACACACACACACACACACACACACACACACGCCACAGTCGAGAGCTTTTCAATGAACTTTTCACCCGTTTGAGTTTCCCAGTATCAAGGTTGATCTTGAGGTTTGAACTAAACACATTTCTAACAAGAGAATCGTGGTTTGTGAAGTTCGGCTGATGTTCTTGACCTGAATCATTTCTGACCTTTGATCTTTGACCCCAGAGAAGATTAGAGCTGAATGTTAGGTATATATATGAAGAGTTCAGATGCAAAAGCCTCTAAATGCCATTTGAAATTTTCTTCTAGAATGGTCATTTTTATCAAGCTTGTATATTTAAGTTCAGTAATTTCACTTAAATGGCAATGATAATTACCTATTAATTGCCATTTAAGTGAAATTACTGAACTTAAATATACAAGCTTGATAAAAATGACCATTCTAGAAGAAAATTTCAAATGGCACTTAGAGGCTTTTGCATCTGAACTCTTCATATATATATATATATATATATATATATATAGAATGCCACTGTGCCTTTATCTTTATCAATGCACTTTTATTTAAACAATCACAAATGCGAATAGAGCAGGCTGCTTGACCTTTGACCCTCATTGCTACCCGGGGTCAGAGGCTTGATCCTGTTCCATCTGCAGTGATTAATGAGCTGTCAATCAAGTGCAAGGCCACGCCCCCAGGGTTAAAAAGCCTGAATAAAGCACAGTAACACACAGACGCTGGATCTGGACCGAGGAGGAACTTACAGCAGGTTTTCATGTAGAACATCAAGCACTTTTATCTTAAAACATCAAGGACAAATTCAACTAATGAATTAGTAATTTATTGAGTTTTTCATGCTTTTGAAGTATTTCTGCAGTTTCAGGCCTCAAATCTTGTAACAGTCTGTAAGAGATAAAGAGCACATTTATGGCATACTATATATAATATATATAAAATTCAGCTCTAATCTTCTTTGAGGTCAAAGGTTTAAAAATGGTTTCATGTTGACAAGAACAACAGCCTAATTTCACAAACCACGATGTTCATCTTTCTTTAGTGTGTTCACCTTTTTATGAGTGTCAGTGTTCCTGAACTCCCGAAACGCCTCCATTAGTCTTGAGTTTCGAACACGTCTCAATATTCCTCATTATAATAATTAATCCGCAGAATAAAGGGGCGGGGCCTGGTTGAGTTAGTTAGTAGTGTGTTAAACTGGCGGTTATGGAAAGGGGCGGGACATTTGCCAAACACACTCAAAGCGCTCAACCAATCACAACACACTGCTCCAGCCGACCAATCAGAGCACAGTGTGCTTTTCAGGAGGAGGGGCTTCATAGAGACAGGAAATAAACAGAGCGTTATGAGGAGAATAATCAACATTCAAGTTCTAGTGGAGCCTGAAACACAATAATCTTGTTTTCACTTTTATGATTAAATGTGCTCCGGCCGGTGTGAATGTGAAGGGTTGTGCAGACCAACAATGAAGCTCTTCATCCAATCATGCGCTGGTCTCCCAGCACGCCGAGCGGGTCACATGATGCTGGACAATGAGGAACCGCTCTCAATTGAGTTCGTGACAAAAGCCGGCTGTGCAGAAGAGAATGCGCTCTTGACGGACACACACGTCAACAACGTCTCACGACGAGCCGAGTCACGAGCTGCAAACGTCTACTCAAGATCCACGAGATGATGCGTTACCGGGAAAACCTCCGCATCGTAATTAGCCAAAACAGTCACTTACTAAAGCTGAAAAACAAAGAAAATGTGTGTGTGAGCTGCTCTCATGCACTTGTGTGTCGGTAACTCTAGATGTGGTGTGTGAGGTGTTGAGCGATCGGCTCTGTGTAATATATGAAAGTGGATTAAACCGTAATATGAGTTTGAGCCAAAGCTGCATGTTCAGATTACCAATTAATAAGCGTTTTATTCCACGGGTGCGGCGAGGGTTTGCTCTCCTCTGTTCCTCTTCACTGTTCTGCCAATCCGACGACACACACACACACGTGAGAGTCAGACTGAGCGCAGAGGTAAAGAAGGAAATACTGCCATTATTTACACTTTCCTTGAAGTCCATATGAAATATAAAATATTATATAAAATGTAACTTAGTAATGTTGTATAAGAAAGCACCCACCTAAAGGATTATTAGGTTCAATTTCTCTTTAATGCAATTATCTAATCAGCCAATCACATGGCAGTTGCTTCAGTGCATTTAGGGGTCAAGACAATCTCCTGAACTCCAAACTGAATGTCAGAATGGGAAAGAAAGCTGATTTAAGCAGTTTTGAGCGTGGCCGGTCTGAGTATTTCCCAATCTGCTCAGTTACTGGGATTTTCACACACAACCATTTCTAGGGTTTACAAAGAATGCTGTGAAAAGGGAAAAACATCCAGTATGGGGCAGTCCTGTGGGCCAAAATGCCTTGATGATGCGAGAGGTCAGAGGTCGACTGATTCAAGCTGATAGAAGAGCAACTTTGACTGAAATAACCACTCGTTACAACCGAGGTATGCAGACAACACACACAACCTTGAACAGCAGAAGACCCCACCGGGTACCACTCATCTCCACTACAGATAGGGAAAAGAGGCAGCAATTTGCAAAACTGGACAGTTGAAGACTGGAAAACTGTTGCCTGGTCTGATGAGTCTCGACATTCAGACGGTAGAGTCACAGAATGAGAACATGGATCATCATGCCTTGTTCCCACTGGTCAGGCTGGTGGTGGTGGTGTAATGGTGTCGGGATGTTTTCTTGGCTCACTTTAGGCCCCTTAGTGCCAATTGGGCATCGTTTAAATGCCACGGCCGACCTGAGCATTGTTTCTGACCATGTCCATCCCTTTATGGCCACCATGTGCCCATCCTCTGATGGCTACTTCCAGCAGGATAATGCACCATGAATCATTTCAAATTGGTTTCTTGAGCATGTCAATGAGTTGACTGTAGTAAAATGGCCGCCACAGTCACCAGATCTCAACCCAATAGAGCATCTTTGGGATGTGGTGGAACGGGAGCTTCATCCCACAAATCTCCATCAACTGCAACTATCCTATCAATATGGGCCGACATTTTTAAAGAATGCTTTCAGCACTTTGTTGAATCAATGCCACGGAGAATTAAGGTGAAAGGGGGTCAAACACAGTATTAGTGTGGTGTTCCTAATAATCCTTTAGATGAGTGTATATCTGACTGGAAGGAAAATAAAGTCTTGTTATTATTAAATCAAGGCCTCCGATGATACTTTAATGCTGCTGTTTTGTGTTTGTCGAGGGTTCGACTCAACATCCACTTTCTTCGCCTAGATTAATCAGCGTAAACATTCTGCTCAACAGCTATTGTGTTCGGCACAAGAAGGAAAGTCAGACGGGTTTGAATCAACATGAGGACGAATACACGATGACAGAATGATCCTTCAGTTTGGCTGAACTCCAGATGCAGTAGTTTACTCACACACACACGCACACACACACACACACACACACACCACTGGGATTAATAGTCCTTAAACACTCTCCTTAAGAGATTCCACACTACAGGCATGCAACTCATCTGCATGTGTGTGTGTGTGTGTATGTGTGTGTGTGTGTGTGTGTGTGTGTGTGTGTGTGTGTGTGTGTGTGAAACGTCACCCATAGACTTTCAGAAGAACAGTTTTGAGGCTGTTTATGGAGGGTATGGGCGGCGCCATACTGGAAAATCTTGAGAAATACAAAATACAAATGTTCAGAAAGAATACAGAGGTGGTCTGATGTGTTGTGTCAGATCATGGCCGAGACGTCAAATTCACTCGTCGCAGCCCGTTATCAGCTGTCAATCAAAGGTAACTGCCCTTATTTCTCATATATTTTATATCTAAACTAACGAGTTAGAAAAAAATTCAGCCCCCTCACAGTTGTCAAGCACTCGGACCATATTGAAGATTACAACAAAAGTCCATGGGACCAAACTGTAAACATATGAATTTATGCTGTGAAAACGGACATTATAACATGAGGTCTATGGATATTTGCTCCCTTTTGGCACCGGCCTCTAGCGGATTTGAGATGTATTGCAGTTTTTCGCACTTCCGGGTAGGCTTCACTTTTCTCCAGTGTTGTGACGTATTTCCAAGAGAAACGGAATATTAAATGAGGCAAAATAGTGGGCGTGGCTTTTTTTCCAACTAGCACCTGATTGGATCTAGAAAAATGGGTGTTTCATTCTGAAATGGAGGATGACGCAAGTTTACACACACTGTCAATCAATGCTCGCTCAGCGCTCGCAAACACACAGCAGCTGTCAGTTGGAGGGGCGTGGTTATGGACGTTAGGGAGACACCCAAACCGTAAAGCCTACGTCATCGGGCAAGGTCCTCCAATGCAGAGGGGAGGGGCATTTTCAAAATTTGATTAAAGTTTACAAAGCCAAAAAAATTTTGTGTATGGATTGACTGGCATGTATGAATTGTTCACCACAAAACAATCAATTTAGGCAAACAAAGTAGCCTAAGTATGGTCGATTTTGATTTCATGGGGACTAGAATGCTGCCGCTTGACTTATATCCACATGATTTACACTGGAATAATATTTCAATGTTTTACTTTATTTCTGATCAAATAAACACAGCTTTAGTGAGCAGAAGAGACTCTTTCAGAAACATTGATAAAATCTAAATTATTCTGAACTTTTGACTGTTAGTGTGTTTCTGTATATTTGCATC